CATGATATAGACCGGGACTCAAGAGACCAGAGACTAAGAAGTGAAAAATTACAATTCGGATTCCTAAAACAATCATTTCAGTTTCCATAAGAGATTTCCCCACTGGAGCCATTTTCACTTGAGCTTTGTCCAGCACCATTAAGCAGTGTTCTGCCTGCTCACAAGTTATAAGGAACTCAAGAGCAGGTTCAGTAACATACATGCAGCTCCCTTTCATAAAACGTCTGCACCACTTTCTGCATGGTAATCCACCCTAATGGAGCCTTCATTAACCTATCTATATTGGATGAATGAACATCCCAAAGACCCCTCTCTTCAGCTTATAGAATATCTTCCTCAATTCTCAGTTGAAGCAGGACATTTCAGGATTATAGGATTATATTTTGTGAATGCTAGTTCCTGGCATTGGGTAAGTCCCTTAACCATCCTAAGCCTAAATTTGCTCATGTGTAAAATGGAAAGAAAAATACTCGCCTTCCAGAGTTGTTCTGAAGATTTCTTCAGTCAGTCTGTAGTTTTTGAGAACCTACTCCTCTAAGCAAGACTCTAGAGTGAGGGAGTACTGGGGTCCAAAGATAACACATGAGTGTTGAGAGGTCAGGGAGTTCACAGGTGAGAGAGAGACACAAGCCAATAACTACAACGTAGTAAGTGCTAGTGTAGGAAGTAAGAAAACTGGATTTGGAGTCATTCTGTCCTGGGTTGAAATCCTGTTTCCACCACTTCCTCATTGCATGACACTGGGAAACTACTTAAACTTTCCCAACCTCATCTTATCAATGGAGATAATGATACCTCTGTCCTGATTCTATAAGGATTAAATTAGCTATTCTGGTAAAACATAGTGTCAAGACCATAAACAGTATTAAATAGACGAATACATTAAGTGTTATGGGAAACTCACAAGATGGACTGAGCACACATGAATGTGCCAAGCACGGTGTCTGATATGCAAAAAGCACGTTACAAACGTTAGCCTGTATTGCTGTCTACATCAACTCTCCCATTCAAATAAGGTGATTGCTTAATTTATTTTTTTATTTTTTTTATTTTGGAGACAGAGCATGAACGGGGGAGGGGCAGAGAGAGAGGGAGACACACAGAATCGGAAGCAGGCTCCAGGCTCCGAGCCATCAGCCCAGAGCCCAACGCGAGGCTCGAACCCACGGACTGAGAGATCGTGACCTGAGCTGAAGTCGGACGCTTAACCGACTGAGCCACCCAGGCGCCCCGGTGATTGCTTAATTTGAGCAAGACAAAGAAAGAACTAGAAATGGACCCAAGATCTTAGAGATGCAAGGCTGGGAGAAGATACCAGTGGCCAGCTGCCAGGAAATCTCATTCTGAATTCTCTAGGGCACAGATAAGCACAACTGCATTCACAAGGAACTACTGAGCCCCTGGGGTAGAGCAGGGGGAGGACAGGGCATAGCACAAATCCCATATCCACAGAGTATGAATATGGGACAACCATGAGTAATTCTAGCAATGACAATTCTTGGAAAGACAGGAGATATGCTAGGCCAAGGCCCTCTGATGAGCTGTGGCCTGGAGCAGGTGCACCTACCTGAAGACAGTCCATTATACAACGGTGACCACTGAGAACACGAGAGAAAATAGGGCTGATCTATTATTGTAGACATGGGTAATGCTGCTGTTGCACATGCTGTCCTACACATGAGACTTTACTGAAAGTTATAAAACACAAGTGTTTAAGACTCTTTTGGAGGCAAGTAGCCAACAAAACGGACTTAAGCAAAAAATTAAAATTGATTAGCTTGCCTAATTGATGAGTAAAACTTCAGGCATAATTAAACTCAAGAATTCAAGTGATCTCATCAGGAATCTGTCTTCCTCCACTTCTTGGCTGTCTTTCTCTGTCCTGTCTTCCTTCGAGAGTACTCTTCCCATGGAGAGGGAAGATAACCATAAGCAGGTTTATATCTCGTTCTTTAACGAATTCCAATCAAGACAGTTCTCATTTCCAGTAGTCGTAGTACAAGTCCCAGGATTCTCACTGGCTCTGATTGGTCCACCTTGAGCAAGGATGTTTTGATTGGCCAGGTCTGGGTCATACGCCTCTCCTTGCAGTAGGAATAGAGCTAGCCTATGTGAGCCACCTGCCCTCAAAGGAAAATAGAGATGTTATTACTCTAAGGGTCACAAATTTGTGAACAGGTAAAAACTCCAAATATTGACTACATTTTCCTGCTGTTTTTTCTAGGCATCCATAGAACATCTGCAAATATAGGCAGAAGTTAACCAATCTCCTAAGATGTCAGCAGGGGAAAATAGACGAACAGACTCAGAAATGTCATCACGGCAGTTAATTGTGTGAAATTTATCACCCCGATTGATCACACAGCATTTAGCTTTAAGAACATCAAGCCTCCAAATTGCTGGTTTTGGTTTTTTTGTTTTTTTTTTACGACTGTGAGGCAAGGTTTACCAAAACTAGCAGATATGACTGTGACTTACAAAACGAGAAAAGTAAACAAGAAACACAATTTAATATGATTTAATAAAAGATTTGTTTCCACCACTTCTCCTGGGAACCTCGGCACATTTTCTTTTTAGAGACAGTTATTATCTCTACCTTTATTGAACAAAGGCATCGGAACCCAGCTGGTGAAGATCTGTAAAGAAAATCATTCTTTTATTAATAAGGCTGTTATTAGCAAGGGAAAAAAATCCATGTTTGGGGGTTTGCACAGAAGTTACAGGCCATTTCAAAGAAATATGGCTGACTACCACCAACATTATTTCAGGCAATTTCATGATCAAATGTCCTATTAGGTTGTTTAAAATTTTTATAGAGACTGTAAATCAGAACTATTTTCTATTTGCCCTAAATATTTAGGTGCAACAGGGAAAGCAGATCAAATTAAAGGGTATTGTGCACATTTTTTACTGGGATCTCCCAGGAATATAAATCATTCCACTTGCAGTCTGGAGTTCCTGGGTAAACATGTTGGTGAGAACAACATTCGATGCTCCTCCAGTGCTCTCATTAAAAGGATGATCTGGGGGCGCCTGGGTGGCGCGGTCGGTTAAGCGTCCGACTTCAGCCAGGTCACGATCTCGCGGTCCGTGAGTTCGAGCCCCGGTTCGGGCTCTGGGCTGATGGCTCAGAGCCTGGAGCCTGTTTCCGATTCTGTGTCTCCCTCTCTCTCTGCCCCTCCCCTGTTCATGCTCTGTCTCTCTCTGTCCCAAAAATAAATAAACGTTGAAAAAAAAATTACAAAAAAAAAAAAAAGGATGATCTGGACATTAAAACAATAAAAAATAAAAAGTAAATGGGGCATCTGGGTGGCTCAGTCGGTTAAGCGTCAACTTTGGCTCAGGTCAAGATCTCACGGTTTGTGAGTTCGAGCCCCGCATAGGGCTCTGTGCTGACAGCTCAGAGCCTGGAGCCTGCTTTGGTTTCCGCGTGTCCCTCTCTCTCTGCCCTTCCCCTGCTCCCGCTCTGTCTTTCTCTGTCTCAAAAATAAAACATTAAAAAAAATTTTTTAATAAATAAATAAATGGATGATCTGGGTAACAACAGCAGTACCAGGTTCTTCCCCATCTTCAATTTTTTTTTTTTTTTGGTCAAGATTCAAAGGATACTACTCAAACTCTCCCCAGAGATCCTAGAGGAATAAGTTTTGAACTACTTTATTCCATTGGTTCAGCCCTGAACAATACCATGGGACAAGAATCAGAGGAAGATAGGGGGGACAGACAGAGATCTGTAGACATGCTGGAAGAAATCATTCTTTCTTTTTAGAAACAGAGAGTCAATATCCATCAAATGTTAAGTTGCATATCCCTTGATCTAGCAATTTCTGCTTAGAGATTTAACCTACTGATATACTCACACATGTGCATAAAGATAGATGTTCCAGGGTACTTAATGCAGCCTTGGTTATGGTAGCAAAAGATTGGACATAATCCAAATGTCTTTCAATATGGCTCTGATTAAATAAATTACAGCACAGCCTCACAGCGGAAAACAATGTAGCCATTAAACACAATGAAATGGGCCTCGCTGAACTGAAATGGCACCACCTCTAAGATACATTGTTAAACAGAAGAGAAGAAGGGAGATACAGAGGAACAAGTGTAGTGGAATGCCATTTGGTATTAAAAACATTTTTTTTTAACGTTTATTCATTTTTGAGAGATGGAGAGAGACAGGCAGACACAGAATCGGAAGCAGGCTCCAGGCTCTGAGCTGTCAGCACAGAGCCCGACGCGGGGCTCAAACCCATGAACGGTGATATCATGACTTGGGCCGAAGTTGGACATTTAACCAACTGAGCCACCCAGGCGCCCGCATTTTGTATTTTTTTTAATGTAAGAAAATATTTGGTTCTGTATGTTAACTCAACCAGAATTAAAATAAAAACTTAACACTAAAAAAACCAAAATATTTGTTTGTGCACACACAGAATATCTCTGAAAAGAAACCCAGGATTTGCCTCTTGGGAAGGGCCACCCTTATGTTCACTGTTATATCTTTCAGTACTCCTTTTTGAAGTTTTTACCATATATGCATATGTAATTTTTTAAGTAAAAATTTAGACGAGGGGCATTCAGTTGGTTAAGCATCTGACTTTGGCTCAGGTCATGATCTCATTGCTCGTGGGTTCAAGGCCCGCATTGGGTTCTGTGCTGACAGCTTGCAGCTCGGAGCCTGGAGCCTGCTTCGGATTCTGTCTCTGTCTCTCTGCCCTCCCCTGCTCAAGGTCTGTCTGTCTGTCTCTCTTTCTCTCTCTCAAATATAAATAAACTTTAAAAAAATTATTTTTAAATTTAGACAAAAAGGATAATGGTGCTTTGCAATAAATCTAACAGGAAATAGAAAAGATTTCTTGAAAAAAATTACCAAATACTCAGACATACATGAGATTTCTGAAAAAATGGAGAAGTACCTCACTTCCTTGAATACTATGAAAGACTGGCTTACTGTTTCCAACCTTTCACTCCCTGCATTACAGAATTAAACATCCTTGTACCTTTGACATTTTCTCACTGTGGGTAGAGTGTTCTTTCTGACCCGTGGTTGTCAGTCTTGGTCATGTGACTTGCTATGTATGGCCAGTAGTGTGAGTAGATGCAATAGAAGCAGAGGCTTTAAATGTGCCTCTGTGACTCTGCTTGATCTCTTGAACTTCTGCCATCGACCGTGAGAAGATCAAATCTTGCGTAGTCAATGGTCCCAGGATGAGGAGATACATACAACAGACCTGGGCCTGGAATCAAGCAAGCTGATCCAGCAGAGCCCCACAGAATCACAGCCTACATGCAGACCTGTGAGAAAAATCATTTTCATGGTAAGCAAAGATTGGGGGGGGGGGGTGTATGTTACACAGTTTTATCACAGCCACATCTGACTGATACAGGTGGGAAGACTAAATTACTTGCTGTGGCGCTCTCCCACCTCCTCTAGGAAATTGTTCCCGATTAACCCTACCACCACACAAGACTGTGATCTCTTCACAGCCACAGACAGATCCTTCACAACAGAAACTGTGTGTTATCACTCCCTGTGTCCCTAGACTTCTGCACAATGCCTGGCACAGGATTCTAAAAATTAAAAAAAAAAAAATCTTTCTCTGACCAACCTCTCTAAAGTACTTGCCTGCATCCAACAGTTAGTCAGCATCATATCACACATACCATTAATCACAATCTGTAATCATCCTATTATTTTGTTATCTTGTCTCTCTCACTGGAACATTAACTCCCCGGAGGAAATGAATCAGTGAATTCCTTACTCTGATTTTTATAAGTCTTCAGACATCTGTTGTGCCACATTCTCCAAATTTCTTAGCCTACCCTTCAAGGCCTTGCAAAAGTTGGCCCCAAACTGTTCCCAGCCCTATCACCCAGTGATTCCCTTAAGAAATACCATGCAGTCTTTTCGCCACCCACACTTTTTCTTTTTCTGAAACATTATCCAAGATATTCCCTCTACAAATTCCCTCTGGTATGAGTACTCTTTCCTATCATTCCTGCTTATCTAAATCCCGACCATTGGTATTATTTGGGATTAGGTTCAGCCATGATTTCACCGTAAAACTCAAAACACCAGTGGCCTAAAAAAGGCAAAAGTTTATCCCTTTTGCTTAATAAACTTAGAAGTAGTCAGAATAGGATTAGAAAGCCAATCTATGGCTTCAGAGGAACAGGATCCTCCTAAGTTATTGTTCTGCACTGGGTTCCTTCCATTCCTAAACTCCCTTCCTGACCCAGAATGGCTGCTGGAGCTCCAGCTATTACATTCTCATTCTCGTCATTAGGGAACAAGAAATATGGAAGAAAAGCATGCTTCCTCCCTATAAAGAAATCTGCTCCCCCAGCCCAGGAATCATACACAACACAGTCACTTACATGTCACCCAACAAAACCTGGTTATGCAGACACACCTAGCTGCATGGGAAATTGTATTAACTACTTTGATACATCACTACCACCACGTCCTAACACAGTAGCTTAAAACAATAAGCATTTACCCACCACATGATTCTATGTGTTGGTAATTTGGGCTCAGGTCAGCTAGGTGGTTTTTGTGGCCTTGGGTGAATACTCATGTGCCTGTAGTTAGCTGTCTGGTTGGCTGGTCTAGGATGACCTCAGCTAGGAAAGTTTGTCCCTGCTCCAAACAGGCTCCTATCGTCCAGAAGGCTAACTCTGGCTTGGTCACATGGTGGTCGGGCAGGATTCCACAAGGGTGAGTGGAGGTATGCAAGGCCTCTGGAGGCCTAGGTTTGGGATTAGCACAATGCCACTTCCATTGCATTGTACTGAACAAAACAAATCACAAGTCTGGCTTGGATTCAAGAATGGGGAAAGACTCCATCGCTAAACAGGAGGTGCTACCAAGTCACCCTGCAAAAGATGTGTGTACAGGAAGGGAAATAATCGTGGCGAGTGTTGCAAGCAAGATTCCAAAGAAGTATTGTCTTTCTTGGGGGTGAGGGGGATGAGCCAGCTAAAAATTAAGTATTCTGTTATGGAAGTAGAGGGGAATGGATATTGGGGAACAGCATGCATTCTCTATGACACCAACTTTCAAAGCCAAGTTCTAAATGCACTTCCTCCTCCTGGAAGCCTTCCTTGAACCACTGAGCTAGAATTCTGGCCACGAAAGACTATCACCTGTAAGTTTTATGACTCTCTCATAACTACCCATGGAGAGATATTGGCCCGTGAGTATCTGCGGAGAGTGATAGGAGGTAAGCCCTTACCTGTCCTCTGAGGCCACCATGAGCTTGGACACCATCTTTGCTTAGATCCTAACATTTCTGTTGAAACAAGTACCTTTATTATTTGAAAGTAACAAATCTTTTGTTTAAATGGCAGGAGAATAAATTTGTTACTCTTGTTTTCAGCACACCCACAAGAGGAACAAAGAATCCACGTGACCCAAGGATAACAGGTCAAATACTAAAATCTAGAAGGAATCCCTTAGCACCCAGAACATAAATAGATATACACACTCCTCATCAGAAAGGGTGTTGGAACTAGTCCATGGATACGTTAGCATTTTCTTTCTCCCTCTCTAATTCTCTTTCCTCTCTTGATGACTGGAATATAAATCAGTAGCCTAGAGTCCTTCTGGTTAACAAGGTTCTCATTTGGGAGGTTGCAGCCTAGGAGGCTATTAAAAAGAGAAAGAAAAGCTTCTTCTATAAACATTTCCTGCCAGCTGCTGAGGGCTGGAGAGGAGGGGAGGGCACCAGGGTGACAGCACAGAACAGGACCATTAGGGGAAGAAAATCTGAAAAGCAGAGTAAGAAATCTTGGTCCAAGTCTCTGGCAGATGATCCATGAATAGAAGTCTAACACACAAAGAGAACCACCCCCCCCCCCCCAGGCAAGACAGACAAGAGGAAAAGAGCCTTCTACTGATCCAAATGGGCCACCGCTGTCCAAAGCACAGTGGAAATCCCTGCAGGTGCCTGCAGAATGTTTTAGAGTAAAATACTTAGGTTTTAGAAGCTGGAGGAGGGGCGGCCTCAGGCCTCAGCATCCTCCACCAACTCCTACAATAATGATAATAAGAACTTGCATTTGCTGGGTTATCACTGTGTGCCGGCACCACAATGAGTATCTTACGTGCATTAATTATCTCCACCAACCTCCGCCACAATGCCACCATGCTGGAGCTACTATTCTTGCCGTTTTATCCACAGGCCTGGTGACGCTCATAATTTGCCCAAGGTCATTTGTTTAAGAAGTGGAAGAGCCACGGTTCGATACCAGTCTCTCTGACTGCACAGGCCGTACTCTTGGACCTCTGCACCATCCTGCCCTTTTATACTGTGATGGAGTGAAAGAGGATGGGACCCAGGGGAGGAAAATGCTGCTGGAGACAGTCTTTTTCATTGAAGAACTCTCAACTTTGAGAAAAGACATCTGAAAATGCACAAATAAGAATTAGGCAACAACAACAGTGGTAATAAATGGACTAATTATATTGTACCAGGCACTGTGCTATTTTATGGACAGTATCACTTCATCTTTAGCCATAAAAAAATTGATGCTCCCATTTTAGGGAAGAGAAAACAGAGGCACAGAGAAGTCACAGGGCCAGGATCTCACAGCCAAGGACCAGCAGAGCTACAATTCAAAGGCAAGTCTGAGGCCAAAAAGCAAGCTCATTTCCAGTCCCAAGGTGTCTCCCCAAGCAAGTGGGCAATTCAGTCCTTCGCTGCTTCATTTTATCCTTCAAATATACATTAATATTCACTGCATTTAGACACTGTTTTAATTCCTGATATGGGAAAGGAGCCTAGAAAGAAAACCTTCCTGTTTCCATCTGACTAAAAAAGAACAGTCGCTGAGATGAAGAAGGAGTAAGGAAGGCAGACAGTTCTCTGGAGGGGGAAGATGAAATGTTCCTAAGATCCCAACATACCTAGTCCACCCTGACATCCTTGATCGGGAAAAGCAGCTGGAGGATGGCTGACCCGGCAGTGGTTGAGGTGGGAGCTGGGACAGGGTTGGTCGGGGAGAATCCAGGGAAGAAGGGGCAAGAGTGGAATAAGGAGAAGGTTGGGGCCAGGATCATTTGTGGATGGCTGGGAGATGCTGGTGTCCAAGGCAGCAGGATGTGTCATGGTCACAGTGAGGGACACTAGAGTCACTGCCTGGATTCAAACCCAGCTCCTTTCTGTACTAGCTCTAGTTACCTTATAGTCCTTTCTCCCCTAAAGTAAGTAAGTGCCTGACAAGTACCTGACTCCATGTCTACTGCTTGGTGATTATTACCATAACGTATCTCCAGGGCTGTGCTAAACCTGGGATTGAAACCAGGAAGGGTGAAGTCTATGGCAGCAATAGGAATAATTAACAATAACTTAATTTTGTCAGTATTAGTTATCTCCGCTGTGTAACAAATGACCCCCAAACTTAGTAACTTAGTAATTATCTCACAGTTTATATTGCTCAGTTTAGCTTATCTGGGTGCCTCTGGCTCAAGATTTCTCCTGAGATTGCAATTAAGCCATCAAACATCGCAGTCTCATTTGAGGATTCAACTGGGGGCAATCTCCTTCCCAAGCTTATTTCTGTGGTTATTGGCAGGCCTTGACCCCTTACCACATGGACCTTGCCACAGGACTGATTCATGATATGATAGCTGGCTTCCCTAGAAAGCCATCCTAGAACTAGCACCTAAGACAGAAGTAGTTTTTTTTTTTTTTTATAACCCAATCGCAGAAGTGATAGCCCATTACTTCTGCCATATTCAATTCATTAGAAGTCTAGCCCACCCCAAAAGAGAGGATATTATACAAAAACATGAGTACCAGGAGGTGAGGATAACTGGGGGCCACTGCCTGGGATGCCTGCCACATGTGTATTCAATAAGGCCACAGAAACCTTCAGTCATCCTATCACCTAATCTCCCAACATGAGACCTGCTTTCTCACTGGAAATCATGGTGTAGATTGAGTTCTCCATCGTTCCCAAGAATATGCAATTAAGGTGGAAAAGTGGTTTTCAACCTTTTTGGTGACATAAACCTTTCCCCAAATAAAATCTTTTCTCAATATGTGGATGGATAAACATACTAATATTATAATGTATATGGTATATTATAACATGCTGTTTATATAAAACAGAATACTACTCAGTCCAAATTTTAAAACAGAAAAGAACTACTAATACACGCAACACACATGAACGGCCAAACCATTATTCTGAGAAGAATCCTTTTTTTTTTTTCAACATATGAAATTTATTGTCAAATTGGTTTCCATACAACACCCAGTGCTCATCCCAAAAGGTGCCCTCCTCGATAC